ATTATAGGTCTACCTTCTATATAGGTTAAAGGAAAATTTATAGATATAATTCTAGTAATTATTGATTGTCTTATAAAATATAGTCAATTTTTTACTATTTCTACTATAACTACTACTAGAGAACTAACTAAGTTCTTCTATTCTAAGATAAAGCTTAAATATAGTAACTCTAAGAGTATTATCTCTAATAGAGGATTAGTATTTACTAGTAAATTCTAGTTAAAGTTTTACTATTATTCTTAGATAAAGTTTTATTTCTTAATTACTTTCTATCCCTAGACAGATAGTTAGATAGAATAGATAAATTAAGTCTTAGAAGACTATCTCTACTATTTTGTTAATAAACAGAGAATAAATTAGCCTTAACTACTAAAAATAGCTTAGTTTACAAGTAATAATATAGTTAATTAGTCTATAAAGAAATCTCCTTTTAAGCTATTACTTAGGTATTCTCTAAATTTCTAATTATATAATAATAATAAAGAGATTAAGAAAAAGGCTTCTACTACTATAGAGAGACTTAATTGACTTTAAAATATCTAGAAAAAGACTAAGAAAGTAATCCAAATTGCCTAAGAATCCTATTAGAAGGACTATAATAAATAATATAAAGAAAAGATTTTTTAAAAGGGAGATCTAGTAATACTATTAACTAAAAATCTCTACCTAAAAGATTAACTAAAAAAACTATTCTCTTAATAGATTAGACTATTTTAAGTCTAAAACTATATTAGTTTATTAGTATATTAACTTATTCTTCTAAATAAGTATAAGTAACTATATAATATCTTCTCTGTATTATTACTTAAATTATAGAACTTATATACTAGAAATAAGTCTTTAATAATACTAGATCTAGATAAAGATAAAGAATAGAAAGTTAAAGAAGTATATAATAAATATATATTTAATAGAGAGAAGTATTTCTATATAAAGTAGAAGAACTAGTTTTCTAAATATAATAACTAGGAACTATCTATATATATAGATAATACCTAAAAGGCTATTATTTTATTTTAGAAGTAAAGAGATAAGAAGATATCTTAAAAATCCTCTATATAATACTACCCTATTTTATACCTTAATAAGACCTAGTATACTATATATAGACTAAGATATATATAATCCTAAGTTACTACTAAATAACAATCACTAAGATCCTAAATACTCTATATAAACTAACCTTTAACTTCTATCTAAGTATTATATTCTTTATTACTAATATAGTAGTAAAGAAACTAATAATACTAGAAGATATAGGCCTAAGACCTATAAAGATTCTCTCTAGTAGTATTATAGTAGTCTTTAGATATATCTTACTCTTACTTAGAGTAAAGATATAAAAGCTTAATTATACTTAGTATCTTACTAGTAGATTAGTAGATAAAGATTAATTACTGAAAGTACTTTAAAAGAAGAACAACTTAGTATCAAAGTAAAACTATAAAAATATTTAGTAAAAAAGTAATATTATTCTTATCAGTAGTAAATAGAGATTTAACCTAGATAAGAAGAGAATCTAAATTATAAAGATTTCCCTAAATAAGAGCTAGTAACTATAGAAGGTTAGTAAATAGAAATAGAATTAGGGTAGTTTCAGAGATAAACTAAATTATATCTACTATAACTTATTTAATAAGTCTTACACTTATAAGACTCTAAGTTCTAAATATATAAGATATATAGAAAAAAGTTATCTAAGTCCTTAGGATTGAGTTTCTTAATCTAAGATAGGATATACTCTTTATAAGCTTTTCTAACTTCTCTTATTAACTAATTAGTATAAATATCAAGATTAATATTATTCTTAATATTTACTACTATATTAACCTTAATCTAAGGTTAAACTACTTCAGAATAAAGTAAAGGGATAGATAATATAACTTAAGATTAAGAGAAAGCTAGAGATATAAAAGGCTAATAATTTAGAAGTATTATTAACTAATAAGATCTTAAGATTTTAGGACTAAGACTCTCTTAAATATTACTTAGACTATAGTCTAAAGAATAAAGTATATTAATAGTCCTAGAATAAAGACTTTAAAGTTAGAACTAACTAAATTAAAAGATACTAAGAGTTAGAGAGTAACTAGGACAATATTTAAGTATATTATTAAGTAATTTACTATTTATAGTAAAAATAGATTTAGTCCTACTTAGATTATTTAGAATAGTCTTACTTATAAGTCTCTCTCAAATAGGACTAGCTATAGTTATAGATAAGTAACTTTACTTATAATAAGTATATTAAGTTTAATAAGTAGAGATTAGTATTATAAAAGATTGGTAAAGCTAAAAAAGTAATAGTAATAGTAAAAAGATAAAGTAAGAAGGTAGAGAGATAAAGAAGGAAGAAACTGATATATTAATAAAATAATAAATATTAAGTAACCTTTAAATTATATTTACAAAGAAAGTATAACTAAGTTATTACTATTTACCCCTATCTACACTAATTATATATAACTTAATATAATAGTTAAGTGAGATACTTAATATTGGAAGGGAAGATAATTTTAGAATAAATAAATTATACTACTAAAAAATCTATAGAATATAAAACGATACTGAAAATATCTTAAATTAATACTAAACTCTACTAATCCTAAGTATATATATCTATAAGATTATAAATACTATCACTAATTATAGTAGAAAGACTATTACTCTTTTAGTTAATATACTGAGTTACTACTAAAATAATATCTTTATAAAAAGATCTAATTATACTTATCTAAAGACTATAACTATTATTAACTACTTTAAGATAGTAAAGGAAATTAGTATTTTCTTATTGACTAAAAATAATATTAACTTTTTTCTGTTTAAAAATTGCTTCTAAATAGACAAGTTTAGCCTTAGTATTAGATCTCTTCTTATTAATAAGACTATACTGGCTATTATACTAGCTAAGGATATAAGAGAATAATTTTCCTAAGGAATAAGAACCTTAAATCGTAGCCGATTAGGTAGTAAAACCCTAAGTAATCTAAGTACTATAAGTACCTTAAGAAGTATTAGTAATAGGAGAAGTAGCTATAGTTACTATACTACTACCTATAACCCTAATAGGTATAGGTCTCCCTATAATAGTAACTCCTTTAGCCTAATAGAGTATCTTAACAAGAATTCACATATCTCTATATATTAATCCAGGAACCTAAACCGATTAGTAGCTAAATTACTATCAAAGGGAATTACTTATAGTCCGATATATATAATTCTTCTTCAAACTATTACAATGAACACAGTGTATTAAAGCCTCTTAATTAAAGATATAATCAATATCAAATTTTTGAGAATAAGACATTATAATACTACCCTTTCGGATAAGTTTCAGTTTTACTAGAGCCTTAGTCTAAGTAGTGGTCTCCTTCCCTTTAGTTATAGCTCAAGTTTTTATAATCTCTTGAGCTCTCCCTTTTCCCTTATTATAGTTTTGAGTAGTTCTCACTAGTATAACGGTTTTCCGTACCTGAGGAATTTGAACCTCAATTGAAGGAGAGCAAACTTTATTATAATCCTTATTCTTATACTGATCTTCCTTCTCTATATCCTTATTACTATTTTCTTCTTCTTTCTTAGCCCTCTCAAAACTATTAGTCTCTGAGACTAGTTTCTCTTTAATACTACTCCGAATCAATCTTAAGTAGCTACCTCTATATCGTCTAGTACAAGGTACACTAGATACAGAAGAAGAAAGTATTTTACAAATAGAATAGAGATTTCTAGATCTTTTCCCTCTCTCTTAGAAGGGTTTTTAGCCAGTTTTTATCTCTACTTAGCTCAAAGAAATATCTAAGTCTAAAAAGCAAAAGTTTTCTTTGACAGTTTTCTAGGTTTTTTCTTATTTAAGTTTTAGATTTTTCTCTATCTTTAAATAGGACTTTCTTTCAAAAGTCTATTTTAGTTCCTTTTCTCTTTAAATATCTTTAAAAGTCCTTTTAATAGTTTCCGGGATTTTCTTACAAGCAAGTTTTTCCGGTTTTTTCCTATCTTATTCTACGTCGAATTCTCTGATTAGAATCACTATTAAATAGGTTTTAATAGGTATTGTCTAAGCTAAGCCGTTACTTAAAGGATCGCATCTCTTTAACTATAAACGCCTAAGGTCAGACTTTATTGGAAGGGGAGATAGTTGTTACGGGGCTCATATCAAAGAGGGTGAGCTTCGGTGAGAAGCAACTAACTCTCTTTATATTCCCTGTGGCGACCCGATCTTATCTCAGCTACACTAGGAGTTCGTGCCCGATTCGATACCGATTCGTGCCTGATTCACGTGATGGTCAGGTCGAATGACTTGACGCAGTATTTCCTTTGTTCTTGAGTTTTCTTCAAGAATTAGTCTCTGTTACTATTCATACATATTATTGGTTGATTCTCCTATTCTTCGATTACCATCTAAAGTCTTGCCTAGTCACAGGTCTCTAGCCTGTCCCTTAGATTGCCATTACATTCTTTATCCAACTTTCCCTAAGCCTATTAAGACCTACTATAAGGGTTACTAAGGTATCAGCCAGTACTGATTAGCTAGGTAAGAAATATAAAAGAAGCCTAGGTATTAATCATAAAACAGAGGCTAATTCTTGAAGCACTATTAAAGAATTAAGTCTAAACCATCTATTTATTATACAAAGTGATCCCCTCAGACTGGGCCAATACTAGTTGTGGCGGCTATACCTTTTCGAGCGTTAATGTGGAGTCTGATCTTTGGTTTTCTTTGCTGTGATTGGATCATATGTATTGGCAGAGGTTTCCAGAACAGAAGTATGTGTATTTCTCATGGAAGCCAATTTCGAATCCGTGTGTATCTCAAAGATATTCAGTCCTAGTCAAGGCATGTTGTAATATCGAGGAATTGAATTTTAGGAACAATACTCGTCCCGAAGCACAACCAAGACATATTGTTGACAGTGACACCGCAACAGTATTTGGGCGGTACTCCGGTGGCAACCAAAGCAAATTCTCCGAATTCCAAGTGATCCAAGTACGATCAGTACTTATACTATATGCATCAAATCGTGGCGATGGGGACTCGAAGCTAGTCGGTTCTATACCCGCAGCTAAAGAAAGACGAATATTGCCATTATCAGTTTTAAGGTATAAGTTGGTGATGTCAGCCGGTATCGGAAAGGCGGATTTCCCAATATCGAACCCTTGACGGCATTCACCGTTGTTGACATCCCACACCTTGACCTTGCTATCGGCTGAGATGGAGACGAGGATTTTCAAGTCACGGGAGAAGGTGACTGAGCGAACCGAGTCGCTATGGCCCTCGAAATTCTGGAGGCATTGACCGCTGCTGGTATCCCACACTTTGACCGTACAATCCAGTGAAGCCGAGGCGACGAGTTTCGAATCGTGTGAGAATGTGACCGAGTTGACCAAGCTGCTGTGATTTTCAAGAGTTTGGAGGCAATTTCCATTGCTAGTATCAAATAATTTGACCGTGCGATTGTCTGATACCAAGGCGAGGACCTTCGAATCATGGGAAAATGTGACTGAGTCGACCCACTTGCTATGAGCCTCAAGGGTCTGGAGGCAACTACCGCTGCTAGTATCCCACACTTTGACTATACAATCGTGTGAAGCCGAGGCGACGAGCTTCGAATCATGGGAGAAGGCAACTGAGCAAACTGAGTCACTATGATCCTTGAGGGTTTGGAGGCAACTTCCACTGCTAGTATCCAACAATTTGACTGTGTGATTGTCTGAAACCAAGGCGAGAAGTTTCGAATTATAGGAGAAGGTATTTAAGCGGACCGAGTCACTACAACTCTCAAGAGTGTAGAGGAGCTTGCTGCTACTAGTATCCCACACTTTGACAGTACCATTATTCGAGGCCGGGGAAAGGAGCTTCGAGTCATAGGAGAAGGTGACTGAGCGGACTGAGTCACCATCATCCTCGAGGGTCTGGAGATACTCGTGGCTGCTAGCATCCCACACCTTGACCGTACGATCGTGTGAGGCCGTGACGAGAAGCTTTGAATCATGCGAGAAGTTTACTGAGCTAATTGAGTCGATATGGCCCTTGAGGATCTGGACGCATACACCGCTGTTGGCATCCCACACTCTGACTGTAATATCAAAAGAAGCTGAGGCGAGAAGCTGCGAATCATGGGAGAAGGTGACTGCGAGGACTAAGCTACTATGGCCCTCCAGAGTCTGGAGGCATTCGCCGCTGTTGGCATCCCATACTTTGACCATGCCATCGTTTGAACCTGAGGCGAGGATTGTCGAATCATGCGAGAATGTGATCGAGTTGACCGGGCCGGTATGACCCTCGAGGATTTGGAGGCATTCGCCGCTGTTAGCATTCCATACCTTGATTCTGCCATCGTCCGAACTTGAGGCGAGGAGTTCCGAATTATGGGAAAATGCGACTGAGTTGACCCGCTTGCTATGACCCTCAAGGGTCTGGAGGCAGCGGCCGCTACTAGTCTCCCACAACTTTATCGTGTTATTTTCTGATGCTGATGAGAGGAGCTTTGAATCATGAGAGAAATCAACCAAGTCAACTGAACCGCTTTCAAAATCATCATCGAACGGATCATATTCGTAGATGCCTGAAGCTGAGGCAAGAAGCTTCGAGTCATGAGAGAAGGTTACAAAGTTGACCCACTCACTATGACTTTTGAGGGTCTGGAGACATTCGCCGCTGTTAGCATCCCATACTTTGACCATGCCATCGTTTGAACCTGAGGCGAGGATTGTCGAATCATGCGAGAATGTGACCGAGTTGACCGGGCCGGTATGACCCTCGAAGGTCTGGAAGCATTCGCCGCTGTTAGCATTCCACACCTTTATCAGACCATCGTCCGAACCTGAGGTGAGGAATTTCGAATCATGGGAAAATATGACTGAGTTGACACGCTTGCTATGACCCTCGAGGGTCTGGAAGCAAGCGCTCCAGTCATCTGGGATGGCTGGCTGCGCAATTACCCAAGCCGGTTCCTCTACCCAAAATTCTTTTCTGGTGACACTGCTGGCGGGGCTAAATATCAAGCCCGAGGCGTATACTTGAAGCGGTCTATCCTCAATCACTGCTTTGTGGTATAAGATAAATCGACATGCATCTCGAACTCTATCAATCAGCCGTGAGTTCTCTTTTATTGTCTAACACAATCCCGTTAATATTCTCTCGTGGTTGCATCTAGGAGAACGGACCATTAAAAAACTTTCGAGCTTCAGCATTGAAGCTACTCCCTCCGGTAAACTTCTTAAAAGACTAAGTGCCTCGAGCCAGTGGAGGTAGTCACGACACAAGAAATTCATAATAGGGCCGCTATCTTGGAGAAATTTATCTGTGACATTTGTCGGAGAGCACGCGCTAAAGTGATCAACCCAGTAGACACAAGCGTACCGTAGGGCAACTAGCGGGTCTGGATCCGGCTGCTGAACCCTGTCGATTGGATATCCAGGGTGAAAGAGGCTATATATGTCGCGTCGTAACGCACCAGACATAACTTGCAACGACTTCAAAACAATAGAATCGTGTACTCCGTCTTTTCCGTGCGGAAAAACTTCATGAACCACATCTCGAAGCAGAAAGTCCTTGGCCGACTGATGAACAAGGGAGATCGTGCGTCCCCGGAATGTGAGGAAAGAGCCACAAAGCCCTATAATCTCTGCGACATCTAAATCGTCCACGACTTCTTCAGGCAAGTCCATACAAAAAGGTAATTCATCCAACGTGATAGGTCGGTAAACGGTCGTGATAACGCTCAGGAGCGACTTGCAAAGTTCAGCATCATCTGAATCATTGATCTGGCCTAGCATACGCCGATAAAGCTCATCAAGGCCCGAAGGGAATTCTTTCAACTTCTTTTGGACGTGCCTCCGAGGAACATTGGCGAGTGCCTTGCACACCAAGGCTACCCAGAGAAAGGTTCCATGTGCATTTGACAGCAAGTGTCGCGAAATAGCATCGCAGATCTCGTTGGTGTATTTTTTTTGTTCAGTCAATTTCTGAACCTTGTAGTGGATAAAGGCGGCGACAGCCTTGGAGACAGACACCTCATTTAATTCAAGCCAAAGATTTGTTTTTTGCTTCGCCGTGTCGAGAGTCTCTTGAATAGCTGGCCAGTTACGGCTCGAGACGATCCATTTGACATGTGGGTATACTGTTGAATTCTGAGCAAGAAAGTCAAGGAGTCGATTTAGGCCCGTAGTACATTCGTCCAGAGCATCGATGATTAAATAGGTGGTCTGTAACCTCGGATCTTCGAGGATACTAGTGAGGATTTCTGAAAGAGCTTCCCACGCATTAACATCTTCAAAAACCTGCTTCCCAGCCTTGTCGTACTGGCACCGTATATAGGAGACGAGAGATGGCTGCTGCTCAACCAGCATGAAGATAAGACCGCGAAGGACTGCAGTCGCGTGATTTATTCGTATGTCGGTAGCCTGGCAAAAAAAGAACGATACGACAGCAGATTCAGAAGTCTTCAACAGCTCGTCGATAATTCCACACAGGAGCATTGTTTTACCCTTCCCAGGGTCACCCTTTACCCAGAGCAATGAGCTCTGTTCCTGAGACTGCCATCGTTTGAAATCAACATGTTCAAGAATCCAGCAATATGCGTCTTTGAGTAGCCCACCCTTGTCCTTCTCGATACGATCCTTGTCATGTCGAGGATTGGTCGTCTGCAAATCCTGTAAACATGCTCGATTCGCTGATATTTCAAACTGCTCTGAGACAGTTCATAGATATTAGTGCGAATTCGGCTAAAATGGTATTTTCAAGACCTACCAGTGGAAGGATTAAAATTCGCGGTGATAGGACCATAACTTTGCCCTATCTGAAGTCCCGAGTTCGAGCCGCTAATGGAGGTCGTAGACGATATAGCCATTGTGAGGTGATCGCTTTGCACAACGGATGTGATCAGGCACACCGCCAAATGAAAGCCGACCGCTAATCCCCTCTATCAGGTGACCATGTATACTAAGCAAGCAACCAGATGACAAGAGAATTTAAAATGACAGTCTAGCTAGCTGCTGGTTTCTTCGCTCGTGATGAATGTATCTGAGCTTTGCCTTTGCATATCATGTCATAAATTAGCCCATGCTTCGAAAGGTTTCGTGATCTTTCGTACCTAGGGACGATGATGCTTTGAGGTGGGGCAACGAGATGTTAGGTATATTATTAATACAACTCAATAGTTACCTACACCCCACCTTTACTCCTGGCTGACATTCAGTGATGGTAGAGACCCAGAAGCTAAAGCTTACTGTTGAGACTTTTCATATTAATCCCAGATAAACTGCAGGGAAGCATCAAGCAGCAGTATAGAACAGCAACAGCATGATGCAGAAGGAAAGTTTTGACCCTTTATCAGTTCAGACGTTATTTTGTTTGCGCTGTTTGCATGGAACCTTCCAGGAGTCTGTATTTGACTTACGGTCTATACAGTGGCGACCCAAAAGTCTGAGACCCCCCCTTATCTACCGCCTGAGACTCTGCCTTCCAAAATAGGCTAGTGTAACTTGCAACGCGCTATAGTATTACGCTCGCCGCACTTGTGTTGGCCGCTATATACACTACTATATCACACAATGCCTCTGTGTGTAAGATCTCTACCATAGCGCCCAGTACCTAAAGGGCCTATACTTCCTATAAGGCCCCCCTAGGTCACCTATATCTACTAGTAAAACATACTACTGAAACTGTGAATTAGATACAAATTTATAGACCCAAATTACTATATTAAAGGAGACTGCTGGGTGGTCTTATAAGTAAATTCAGGCTAGATTCCCTGATCTACTACTTTCTATAATTAAGATAACCTATCTACAATCGAGAATTTAATATAAAGAAGAATCTATAAAGTGATCTAGATATCTAAAAGTTCTTAATAAAGATAATATCTAAAAGTTCTTAATAAAGATAATATCGAAAAGATCTGTTAGAAGATCTATAAAATACCTTAAGTTATATACAATAATCTACTTAAAGAGATTAGTAATAAATATAAAAAGAAGTTAATTACCTATCTTCTTTATATTAAGAATATATAAAAATAGTAGATTATAAAATAACCCTATCTTAAGCCTAAATATACTAAAAAATAACTTACTTAGATTTTATAATATTAATACTATACTAAAGAGGATTTTAATTATATTTTTTAGTCCGATAAATATACTATTAAACGAGATATTAGACTTTAGTTAAAGTATATTTTTATTTATCCCTAATATTAAGTAACTTAGAGTAAAGTTTATCTAACTCTATATACTAGATTTTAAGTTAAATAAATATTTTAGGCTTTATTTTTTAGTACTCCTTAATAAAGTTCTCTAATCCTACTTTATAGAGACCCTAATTTAGCTAGGGGAGAGATTAATTATTTTATTATTTTTAATTTATATTATTGAATCTTACTAACTTTATTAATTAATCTAATATTAATTTTTCAGTAAGATAATACTCTAACTTATACTATAATAATTATTTATTAATATCTTACTAAGTTAGGGTATAAGCTTATAATTTAGCTTTCTTATTCTCTAGATCTTAATTTAATTAAAAATCTATAGATATTATTAAAATAAAAAATCTATTAGATTTGGCTAGATTTCCTTTATATACTAAATAATAATACAACACTAGTAATTATAATTACTATAGTATAGAAGACCTAGTAATAATTTAATTTCAGTATCTTAGAGAGTCTATTAGAAAGTATACTATATAGGGTATAGATTATTATTGATTCTGATAGGTAGTATACCAGATATTAGGTAGATTTTGTAATTTATATAGAGTTTTTGGCTAGTAGAATATTATATAAAAAGTGGGGTAATAGATAAGGGGGGGTCTCAGACTTTTGGGTTGCCACTGTAAAAAGGAGCTTGTATTATCACGGGTACGTAGAGAATGTGTTATTCAAATCAGTCTCGTGCTTAGGGTTTGAAAAAGCATATCTATGTTCGCGGCATGGAAGCCAATTTTGGTTACTTCTGTAGCAGATTGCCCAATATTGAGAGATCTTCGAAGGGAATTGAGACAGAAAGTGGGGGACGCGTTCGGCAGCGTGTCAAGTCTGCTGGGACGCTCAAAACAAGGTGAGAAAGGTAAACCAGACACCGTCTCCAGGGCGAAGATGGTCCAGGCCGTATTGGACTTCGCCGAGGCCTCACAACGGTTTCGCAGTCGCGCGCCTCAAGGACAGCCTAACAATGGGAGCGGCAATTAGGCCACGGCAGGCCGTGACGAGGCTCTAAGTTAGTTGTCAGGAAGTGGGACATTCTACATGTACGGACAGGGATATATATAGTCGAGGTAGCCTGCATATCACCGTTGAGAGTTGGGACTCTGAACTGAGATACAAGTGTGATGCTCCTTTTCTATCCAGGGGCAGATATGACTACTTATAGACCCAACGGGTGCCTTGATACTACCTCGCACAGCAGCTACCCTGTGTCACTCCTGTACCAGGATCTTGGATCCAACTTTGAGGTGAGTGGTCAGGGTAAATGAAATCATCATAATCATCATCTTCTGTAGCAGCAGAGCACAAGTATCTAGACATATGACTCATGGAAACATCCAAAATTATCTAGTAACTAATATATTCGGGGAAGGACTAGTTAGCCTCTATTTCAATTTTAAATTGTTGCGTGACATTAAAGTGTACATATTTCCCGAATCAGAATCCTTCGATAGTATTCATAGCCTAGGATCTCTGTAATAAGATTAAACGAGAAGCCGTAAGCTGAGACTGGGATTGGGGATTGAGTAAATACTATTTTTCCAGCCTTTATGGCTTATGTGTTCTATTCTCTATAAGTGCTTCTAGGAAATAATTTAGTTCTTTGTAAGAATAAACTTTATTACTACTTAGTATAAGACCAATAACTAAAGACTTAAACAATTAGTAGAGACTAGTAAGAGATAGGTAGCAGTTAATAATATAAATAGATAAAGTATCTACTATCTTATTCTAGAATACTGTTCTTTTACCTCTATTTTAAAAGTTAGTAATTTAAGTACTTAGAGACTAGAGAGCTTATAAATATATATTTAATTTACTAAGTCTTTATTAGTTAGTAATAGAATACTAAGACCTATATAAGTAGTAACTTTCTACTAACACTTACTCTAGTAATATTGGTCACTAAGTAGATTCTAATCTATTTTCTGTAGAGTAAATTAATAGCTATAAAGAGTCTATAAAATAGAATCTCTAGTAATTATAGAAATCGAATAACTATTATATCTTATAGGAAACCCGTTTTTTTTATAAGTCTCTAAATAATTAATTATATTTTCAAAATAAATATAAAGCTAAACTTAGGTAAGGTAATAGTATATATTGTTTAAGTTCAAACTCAATCTGTTTATAGAGTTAATATACTTTAAATAGATTATATATACTATTAGTAAATAATTAAAACTATCTAAGGTAATACTAAATAATATATATAGGTAATATTTAACTAAAAGAGACTATAAGTTTATAACTACTTTATCTAATTATATACTTTTTATTAGATTATTACTATAATTCTTAATATTTTAAGTTTGGCTATTAGTTAAGGTTTTACTAGTTATAATATTATATATTATCTTTATATAGCTAGTATATCTATATATCTATACTAAAATTAGGACTAATAATTTTAGTAAATTTAATATATCTACTTTAGTAAATTATAAATTAGTTTCTTCTAAGGATTAAGTATTTTACTAACTTCTATTTCTAAACTAGAAAAAAGTATATTAATTTAATAAATTTCCTATATACTTAGTATAGGTATTTTCTTTATAAAACTACTCTCTCTATCTATAGACTAATTTAGGTATATAATCTAGCCTAAAAAGTATAGTATAAGAAGATAATTTAGCTTTTAGGAGAGATATATATTTAATAAAGTTTTATTAATTAGATTTATATAATTAGTAAGTATAATAGAGATTTAAATTATTTTAGACTTAAAGCTTTACACTTAGCTATAGTTTTAGATATAACTAGAGAGAGATCTTCTAGCTACTTTATAAGAACCTAAGGAGTATATTCTTCTAGAATATAAATCTTACTACTATCTTTAGGGTTATTTAAGTTATAATATAAGAATTCTAAGTTTTTATTATCCTAGAGTATCTCTATTATAAATTAAATATTCTATTCTATAAAATCTTTATCTTTCTATAGGGAACTTAAATTATCTATATATAGAGATAGTATTACTTAGATAGTAGTTAGTAATAATAGAGAAGAGAAATAAATAGAAGTTAAGATAAAGTAAATATCTTATAAAATAGTTATAAAATATTAAGATTATAATAGAATATATACTTTAAATTTATAATAGTTAGGAAGAAAGATATTAGAAGTTAAAAGAGTTATAAGAGTAGATTTTATATTAATATATAGATAATATTTAAGTACTCTTAAATAATATATCTTAAATAGATAGTAACTATACTCTATTTAGTAGTAATACTATTTTAGGTATTATAACTAAAAGAATAAGTTTTATATACTGTTCTATTCTAGTACTAGAATACTATTATAGCTAAAGTAATATATAAATTATTTAATTAATTTAATTAATCTATATGATTAATCTACTTTAGTCACTATATACTCTATAGTCCCTCCTAAATTTATAATTTATTAATAGTAAAGATTTTATTAGTAGCACAGTTTTGATATTAACACAGTTTTGGCACTAATAAGGTTTATGTTAATACAGTTTTTTATATGTCCCTGATTGTCCCTTATACCTAGATCCTAATTGCTATATTTATATAGCTAAGAGATATCCCTAGTTACAATTCTTTAGTAATCTAAATTTAGGATAACCAGGGGCAGGACCAGTTTAATGTTCTAATATTAGTAAATAA